ACAGGAAGCAAGGGTTGAAATTGCTTCATGCTGCTCCCACAGTTTGATTGTATCAATCAGGTTTTCCCTGATATGATGCATTTGCTGAAAAATATATTGTCTGAATTTCACTTTTCGTTTACTGGTTCGGGGGACTCAAAGAAAGTAAGGATGACAGAGAAGGAGCTTGGTCGATTTCCTGATTCATGGCTGGATCAACAAGTTGACAAACAGCCAGCTGAACGTGGACCTAGTGGTAACAGCTGTATTCATTTATAATAAGTTTACTATACATGCACCAGTTAAGGTCAGATTGTGAGGTACCAGCACTTCACATCATACCACGGACTTTCTATATGAAAACTCCATCATGAACATTCTGACCCTTTCACTCCCAAAAATAGCCGAAGTCAAAATAAGAACAAAATTTCCAACTTTCATTTTGTAAACTGTTGACAAACAAAAAGTACCATGTGGAGGTACTATACCAAGGAGGTTTCATTTGAATGGCAACAAAAGGTGGATTTCATCCACAGACTTGAAATTTAGAACAACCTTACAAGACTACATCATTTACTCTGGGAGTGAAAGGGTTAAGATGCGAGCCCCATACCTTTTGTCCTAGCCAGCTTTGCTTAGAAAATTAAAATTCTAAAATCGCTTAAAAATCAAGAGTTTTAAGAAAAACTACAGAAGGAATTTTCTTTATTTTTAACAAAAATTCCTCATTTCAGGTAACAAAAGAAAAACTAAATCTCAAAAATCAAAGAAGAGGAAACCAGCAAATTTACCATCAGCACCATTTCGTCTCTCTCAAAGTGATATGAAAATCGCGGGCACGAGAGCAACGAATGTCTGTGTGCCACCTGCATATGGTTGGAAACCTAAATGTTTCTTTTCAAAGAACACCTACATGAAATCTCACGACTGGAAATAGGTTTGCAAGCCTTACAAGGGATAACAAATGGTCTCTTAGAGAAACTACATGTATAATATTGCAAAATTGTAGGAAAAATTCTCACTGTTCTGCGGCCTCAATGTTCTGCACAAAGCAATTGACCTGCATGTGTATCTAATCTTTTGTTCTTAAGGTTGCAATTGATGGCATCATGAAGTTTTGTTTGAGAGGTCTCCTTGGTCATAAGCAGCGTCAAACATTCTTCAAATTTCTAGATGTACGGGCACTGTTGTGCCAGGACTCAATGAGTGCTGATAATTTACCTGTCCTTGACATGGAGGTAAACCTAGTGTTAGCACTTCTTGAAAGAGATTTTCCTATCAGTGTCCAGGTAAATTTCTGTATGTGAATAATATATATTTCAGGCAAAATAAAGTATATATAATGCATAATTATCCATGCACCCCCAGTAATGTTACTGGGGACATTATTAATATTAATTTATAATAAAATATTGTTACTATTATGAACTGTTAAACCGTAGCTGTTATACACACAAACCACTACTGATTGTCGATTCAATGTTGTAATCTATTTGTCTGAGAAGCAAATTCCCAACAGATTAAATTAACAGGTTAATGATGATTTTTTACACAGACAATAAGTCTTCACCTTTTGCACCACATCGTTCAAGGGATTCAAGAACAAGGCCCCGTGCATAGTTGGACAATATACGTGTGAGAGGTTCAATAGCTGGATTTGCCAAAGGGTGATGAACCGCCTCCACCCAGAGGGAACTGTCATGGAAACCTATAGGGTAAAGTAAATTTAAATTCCCTGTAGTTCTATTACTGTTTGAGATGGGAGTGTTTTAACAATAAAATTATTTAGTCCGTAACCCTATACACCTGACCCAAAGTTCAAAAAAGGAATTGTTAGATTTAATATTTAATATCTACTCACAATTGCACTGCATCTACAGGACAGCTTACAGATAAGAAATCATTGCACACACACACAGTCGTTTTGTTGTGTTAATTAAGGCATTATTTTGATAGCTGTCGTTTAAGCCTGCTATGGCTTTTGTTGTTATTCACTGCAACACTCTCTATATATACCAGTATCTATTTATTTGTCTGTCATTGTTTTCCCAAACAAAAGATAAGTAATGCAATAATATGCTTTCATTTTGGTAGCTGACCAATTATGATCAGCTTAATTGCATATACGCATCATAACTTGTTCACAAACAGATCTTTGACTGGGTCCAGTACATGCACCACTCTGGACGATTGTCTTCAGATGATGACAAACAACAGAACATCCTTATAGATGAAGAGGATATAACTGCTGTCGGCGAACAGCAACCACCAAGAAGCAGTATACAGAGAGGAAATGAGTACCAACTTGCGGCTCATGAATTGACCTTTTGTAAGAAAAACATTGCCTCATTTAAAATTCGCTCAGAGCAAAGTGTCAGACGAGGGATGGCTTATAAAAAGGGCATTTACCTCTGAAAGAAGAAACAAAACAACAGGTAAACTGGAGTTGTGGAGGGGTCATGCTGCAAACACTAGCACTGATGGAACAATATCTTCTGTTGTGAGGATAAAGAGCGGCCCTAAATGTGTTGGAAGGGTTGGACAAGTTAGGCATTTCATTTCTTTGCAGAATAAAAGTGGAAAAATTGAATTTGTAACTGTTGATTTATATGTCAGTAGTGTGAAGACTGACAAAGACAGTGGCCTCCACTACATAGACACAAGAAAAATGGAAGAGAAGGTTTTCTCTTCAGTAAACATATCCCAACCAATGGTCACAGCAAGAGATGATGAGAAACCCCATGTAATGTGGATTCTCAATTCTAGAAAAGTTTAATGTTGATGACGTTGATGTAGTCTCTGTTTTCTTAAATTTTTATGACATCTGAAAAATCCATTGAAAATACTAGAGTAGAGTATAGAGTTTGTACACTTGCAATTATATATGTTGCATTTAACAAACCCTTTAAAAAATTTCACATGCTTACTCTGACATGCCTAAAAGTGTTCACATGCATGTGAAAAATTTCACATACATAGCATCTATTATGCATGTGAAATTTGAAGTTCACATGCATGACAAAAGTATTTCACATGTGTGAAAAGATTTCCACTGTAGTTGGGTTGTTGCTAGTCCCAAGACCAAATTGACACAACTACTTGTAAAAAAAACAACTGCTCCCGCCATATTCTCTTATTGTTTTTTTTTTGTCCAATTCTTTTTTAGACTATTAATGTGGAGTGCCTATTACAGCTGTAACTAGCTAGACCAGCTAAGCACACACCCAATGTAAAGAAATCATTTGTGTTATTTTCAAATAGACCCATTTACCTCTCATAATTTTTGGCATGCTGTTATGCTCTTCTCCCAAGCACACTAGACCCACAAGTTTCCATTCTCCATTAACAGACTTCATCTCCAAGTCTTCCTGTATTAAATTTTGAAAACAAGACATCATTAAATGAAAATGTTATTTGTTAATGTTTTGATGTCAGACTATAATTATGCTTGTTCAGCTCCACATTGCAGTGGAATCGGGACAGGGAGGGGTCACTCTATAAAAAAGTAATATTGGTGCATACAGTCCTTTTGCTAGGATATTAATATATGCTGCACCCACAAGCTTGATTGATGTTGATTAGAGTTGATTCTAAATGGGGTAGTATTTTTTAAGGTTTCCAGGAGTTTTTGTACATTCGCAAAAGCCTTCCTGATGGTAACACAACATGCCACTATCTCTTAACTCTTTGTAGGCCTCGGGGCTTCGGTTCCATATTGACAAACACAATTTTATCACTGTTGAAAATGAAAGAGTTAGTATACATTGGTGTTCTGCCCCTTCATAACAAAAATGGGTTAATCTTACATGTATCTAAGACCTGATATAATAAGTGATAATTAATAATAAGTGGCATGGGTCTGGTTTTGTGGTTAGTTGGGCACAAAAAGACAGCTATTTCCTTTCTCTTCATTCACCCCCCCCCCCCCCCCCCCCCAACACACCTTCCTCCTTACACCCCCCACTTTTTTTCTGTTCTTTGTGTATAACGGCAGACGCCGCCGTCTTAATGTTCCTTCTTTTCTCTCCAATGTTCTTCTTTCTTTTTGTGTTTTCCCCCCTTAAAAAAAAAAAGGGTTTAATTTACATGTGTCTAAAACCCTACATAAAAAAGTTTAATATAAAAACAGAAGGGGGGGGGTGGTTTTTTGGGTTTGTGGGCCAAAAAAAACAGCTTTTTTCTTTTTCTTTTCTTCCCCCCCCCCCCCCCGGCAAAAAACATTCTTCCTGGACACCTTACATTTTTTATAGTGGTGATTGTGAGAACTAGGCAGTCCAGGGCTAATAATCCTTCAGTTACTCCTTGCGATCTAGTAATTTTTTAATTTAACAGATAAAAGCAACTAACTTAGGGTGCCATCTGTATCCTTGGCAACTTGTCTGCAATAATGCCTTTTCCTGCGCCTCCCAGAAAACTTTCATGTCCTCACTTAGAGATTCCTTTTCCACACTATGAAAGATATGTAGGAAATCCTTGAGATCCTTGAAAGGTCTTCATTTCTTCCTCTACCTTCTTTCTTAAGTAATCCAGCCTCCTTTCTGCATTCTTCCTCCTATCTTGCTCCTGTGAAAGCTTTTAATGCAACTCCTCTTCAGACATGCAGCTAACTCTCTTTTTGGCTGCTGGCTTTTCCCCTTCCACCACAGAGGTAGCAGAACAATTCTTTTAACATTAGAGCACGATTCGCACATTTGACTCGAACTGCGTGTGTACTCTTGCAATAATACGTGGCACTGAGTAGAGCGAAGGTACAAAGCAACTGTACCATCATCACAACTGCGTCATTCCTCGGTAGTCCCAACAGTGTTGCCTCTTACGTCTTTGGCTGATAGTTTTGCGACTACCGAGAATCCTTTGCACAATCGAAACCTGTTTAAGGCATGAAAGAGATAAACGACTGCTTTTTTTGATGACCCAAGTTGGAAAACACCTACGGTTTCTTTTGCAACTTTTCGACTGTTGACGTGTACAACAAATGTCCAGTCTTTAAAGATCTTTACTTCAGTTAAAATGCAGTTGTCTTCGCATAGATCTTGTGACTGGACTTTTATGCACTCAAAGAAATCGTCGCTTGAGCTAGACAAAAGCCAATCGAATTCTTTTGTGAAAGCTGGCAAGTCTTCCCATTTAACACGGTCTTCTTCCAATCTTGATATTTTTGAAAGTGGGTACTGCCATACTCGGCCACCGTTAACTCTTCGCTGGACTCTACTCGCCTGCGGAAAGGCCTCTTTTAAAATCATCTCCAGTTCTTTGACTTGCAATGGAAAATTTTCCTTTACAGAGCAGTTATTTACATAGTCGTCGAGTATTTCTTGTAAGGAGATAAAGTTTTGTTCGTCTCTTTGATAATTCATTGAAAGCCTCTAGGTAACATGGTCAAGTTCGATCAGGGAAAAATCAAACATGGTAATTTGTGCCTCACATTCGAAAGCCAACTGGTCAGATATCTTACCATTTAGAAACAAAGACGTGTTTTTCTCTGTTCGATAATTTGGATCTCTTCTCGTCCGGCTGCTTTTCACGCAATGGAGCAGTTCTTTTCAAGGGTGAAGCTGCCATTATATTTAAAACTCCCTCCACAGCTGATGTTTTGTTTCTCGAATTAGTAACGGTCTGTTGCTTTTGCGTTTCCGGTCTCAATTCACTTCCGTCACCAAGTGCTGCGGTTCACATCGAACAAAGTCACGTGGTACAAGTTTCCTCCCTTGTCCTTTTTTTTTGCTTGGCACTTCGTGCCTTGGTCGCCCTTTGGGCGACGGCCTTCGGTTTCCCTTTGGACGAGGCTATGGCTGGCGGTTATTGATTTTCAAAATGGGGAACAACTAAGTTGATCTGGGTCAGATAAGAAGCGAAGAAATCGTTTACAGTAGATTCATAAAGATCCCATTGGGCTAATTAATCGTGCTAAACGACAAGTATAGACATTTTTCAAGGTGAGACTTTAATTAAGTAATTTATTTATTCACACGAAACTCCTCTGGACCCTGTGCTCCAGGTTGTTTCTTTCAGCTGCGTGGACATGCTTGGGTATACCGTAAAAACTCGTGTATAAGCCGCACCTTTTTGCCGAAATTTTCAGTCAAAAATCGCGGGTGCGGCTTATACACGAGACCATTGCTCTCAAAGGGAGTAAACTGGCTTGCAGGGGTCACAAATTGAACTGAAAACCTTCAGTAAATAAAGATCAAACATATTGAAACCTGTCGTTGATCATTGCTTTCAGTAGAAGTGGTGGCTCCTAAAGGAGCCGTTTGTTTGCATCTTCAGGTTCTATACCTGAATCTTGCTCGCCAGTAGTTCTTTTAAGCGTTTCATCTGCGCTTTGTTTGAGCAGTTAAACTCTAACTGGCCCGGAATCTCCATTCCTCAGCACAGCTGCTTACAGTGTCGTCTGCGACCGATCACTTCAATGCTGATTTCCCCACTACGTGCAAGAAAATACCACGCTATTCGAGAGAATTTGCGAGGCAAATGACCGACCGTTTCGTCATCCTTCACTACTTTCACGGCGTGTTTGTCCATTCGGTTGTTAAACTCTTGTTTAGCAACTCTCGTTTCTCTGGTGTCCAGACTTTCCTCGTCAAATAAACGCATGGTTACTAAGCAATCATTTTGTAGCATTCTCCAGCGCTTTATTTTCGTTCCATCGTTCCATTTTCATTTCAACTGTGGGCTTTAGCAATGAAGAGAACTGTTGTCTTTCGCAGGAAATGGGGAAATTGATTAAAGAGAACCTTTTAAAAGGTATTTTCAGAGTTGATTAACTTATTTAAAATGTCACTGCAAATACACAACATTAAATTTCCTCAAGTTTATTTGTGAACATTTTGATGCACGAACAAACAATCACCTTTTTTACAAAAGCGCATTTTTGTTTTTTTTCTTTTTTTCAAAATCATGCTTGAAAGTTGGGGGTGCGGCTTATACACGAGTGCGGCTTATACACGAGTTTTTACGGTAATTATTGCTTAGAGAAAGAAGCCTTAGTGCTTCCCGCCTAGGTAACAGCTTTAGTTCTGCTGTCTTGGCATTGGTAAGAATTATTAAAGATGGCTTGCAAGTTGTTTGTTAATATTGGTAGTGCAGCTAGTTTTATTTGTTCGAGCTGCTTCCTCTTTCCTCGTTACATATTATTAAGTTGATAACCAAACTTCATGTTGCTCTTTACCGTTAAGTGATAAAAAATGTAATGCTGTTCAGTATTTTTAAGTAATAAATATAGAAGGCAAGTGGATTTCAGGCTCCTAAGTGGGGAAAGTGAAAAGAGAAATCAGCATGTGAAGGAAGCCATGCAGAGTAGGGAGGACAGCACATTTGCTTTTCAAACTCTTGCTTTTCATTACATATTATTAAGTTGATAACCAAACTTCATGTTGCTCTTTACCGTTAAGTGATAAAAAATGTAATGCTGTTCAGTATTTTTTAGTAATAAATATAGAAGGCAAGTGGATTTCAGGCTCCTAAGTGGGGAAAGTGAAAAGAGAAATCAGCGTTTGAAGGGAGCCATGCACAGACTAACGAGGACAGCATATTTGCTTTTCCCCACTCTGGAGCCTGTTCATAAACTACAGCATTGTTGAAGAACATTCCTGTTCAAATAATAATATTGATGCAGTTCTTCTTTTGTATGCCAATGAACCAATAAACCAGAGGGTTGTGTTTTTGTCGATATTTCGATTGTTTTTCTCAAGGCTCTCTACTTTGTGAAGTAGGTGGGGCAAGAAAAGAAGTACGTGGGAATTTAAGTATTTCAAAGTAGTGTTGTCAGTGATTCATTGTCACAGACCAAACTCTTCTCAGCCTTTTAGAATACTACTTATTGTGCCATCCTTGCAACTTTTGTTGAGAACATTGTGCAATTGAAAAAATTCCAACTCAGTTGCAATCTATAGATAACAAGTCAAACAGTGAGTTTGATGGTTTTTGAAACACACAAATCTGACAAAAATTCACTAAGATTTCAAGATCCATGGCAAAGATTTATCTTTATCAGTTGAGTGATGGTGATTGTATCAGGATGCAACCCATCTCTAGTACTTAAGTGACTTTAACCTGACAGTGAGTACCAGTTGAGTTCTCAAGACAACCTCAAATAATTAATATAGTGTCAGTCACCAATCCATGTCATTTTCTTATCGAATGGGTAGAAGCACAGTAATGTCATCCATGAAACCTTTCATGCTATTTGGGGTGCCCTCAATGAAGAATATCTTCATCCGATGATTGAAAGAAAATTGCAAATGAATATATGGAACTGTGGAACTTTCCCCACTGTGTTGGGGCCATAGATGGCAAACATATTGCCATTAAGTGCCCTGGAGACAGTGGTTCCCTTTTTTACCACTATAAGAAGTTTTACACTATAGTCCCTTATGGCAGTCTGCGACGCTCACTATGTTTTCACTCTGGTAAACATTGGTGACTTCGGTAGCAATAATGACGGCGATATACTGCAGAACCCTGCTATGGGAGGAGCCCTTGAAAGCATCACTCTTGGAATCCAGACCCAGAACCCCTTGGGGGATTTCAGGATCCTCTCCCTTATTATTCAATGCGGGATGACATATTTTGTTTAAAACCTGGATGCAGCAACCATTTCCAGGTCGAAATATTTCAGAAAATCAAAGAATTTTCAATTATCGTTTGTCCAGGGCTAGGAGAGTTAAAGAAAACACCTTAGTCACCCAATAAATGCCTCAGTACAAACACCTGAGGCCATCACAAAAAATGCTGTTTGCCTTCATAACTTTCTTAGGCTTACAAACTCTGCCGTATACTGTCCTAATGGCTTTGTTTACAGTGAGGAGGCAGTGGACGATTTAAACCTGGAGAGCAGCGTGCTCAAGTGCTAAGAGGTGGTGGTGAAGTGCTGCAACGGTAGACATTGCTCCACTGAGAGGAAGAAGAAACTCCAATGATCCTGTTCAAGTGCGAGATGCCCTGTTAAAATTTCATATTTGATGCTGGATGTCAGCTGCCATGGCAGAGGCAGTATGTGAGCAGTACGGGTCTGTTGAATTATTAATATAGGTCCAGAGTTTGACTTCCCTCTGTTCCTCTAAGAACACCTCACTCCATCATAAATGAAACAATAACTACAGTCTCAGTCAAGATTGTTGGGACACTTTTCTGTCTCCTTGTCCCCTCAATGTTTGTGTACAAGGTTTGGTGACTGAACCGCGATAAACAACTTTGAGAGGGACAAGGGGAGCATGAGAAGGAAAAAAACAGTGTTTGGTCCAAGTGTCCCGACTATTTTTGTCTCAGACTGCAGGTACGAGTTATGTCTTTCCCAGCATTGATCGTTTCATCCTTCGAACAGTTGTCTAGAATGAATTTTCTCACTACAAAGTAAGAAAAGATTTCATGGTAATATATATTTTAGTTATTTTAAAAAAGTGAACAAAAGGCATCATAAAAGCTCTGACATTTCCTCCTGATACCGCTGATAACTACAATGATACAGACAAGAAACGGTAGTTAAATGCCAACCCTGGGCTTTGGATAAGTTGTGAAACCCAATTTACGGTTAAAATGCAATTAGGCCTTATCTAGTGCCAGGGTAAGGCTTTGCACTCTGCTCTGCAAATGTCATAGAGGGTCTTTTTGTAAGCAGTATTTGTTACAAGCTTTGACATTACCTAAAGTAGTGCTCTCTATCATTACCACGAAGTTTCAAAACCAATTTATGAAAGTCTCCTTGAGCTTGTCTGTGGAGGTAGACTTCCCTAACATAAAATCTTTTAGGTCTTCTGATTTTCTTGACCTTTTGACGCCTTCTAAACCGAAAGAGGTAGATGACAAGCAATGCAAATAGTAAGACATCACCTTCATCAGTCATCTTGCTAATCATCGGCTTGAGTAGAGTTGGTATTGACAACTGAGTCAAATATGCCAATCTGTGCAAGCGTATGTCCTTATGCTTGTGTGCTAGTAAAAACCAGTGTAACTGCTGGTATCCTGACCAGCGGGCTTACCCCCTTGTTTATTAGGAGCATGCGCACGGGGCCTCGGCATTGGCGGGCACAAGGCCACCGTGAAATAACCTGAAGTTTTCACTATGGTTTTCTTCAAGTTTCCCAAGTGTTTTGTAAGTCGTTTGTTTCAGTTTTTCTTTGTCGTGCTACGGATTTCTAAAGCTTTCCAACGGATGTTTGTGATGATACTTGTGAGTTGATTCAGCCTCGTGTATGATTAAACGTTTTGTTGTTATGTTCATCGCCACGGCTATCATGTGCCGCCATTCACAGCCACAACCAGGCTTTAGTAAGCTTGAATAAATTACCAAGTACAAGCAGCTGTACTACATTGCAGCTGGCTTTAGCAGCCAGGCTTTAGTAAGCTTGAATAAATTACCAAGTACAAGCAGCTGGGATACATTGCAGCTGAAAAATGGACGGTTAGAAGTACTGGAGTTGGTGGCTTTTTTCCTCCAAAAAAAAGGACTTCCAGGTGCTAAAAACTGGAAGGAGATTTCGTAGATGCTGTATTGTGCTTTGTTGAGATTTTAGATTTCGAAAAGAAAGGGCAAATGAACAGTAACTCTGATAAATAGAAGTTTGTTAAGCTCACCCCACATTCAGCATATAAAGTTGTTCTTCTTTTAGTGCTAACTGTATTGGCCATAGCTTACTGATTACTCAGTTTCTTACAAAAAATACTTTGGGTAAAAATACCTTGTCTTTTTACTTTGCAAATAGTAGTCAAATTTTTAAAACTTTTTCAGGCTTAATTAGTTGTAAATGTTGTAACATTGTATTTTTCCTTTCTCTCTTGTACGTTGTTTTTATTTTCCCTCCATGTAAATGTAAGTATTGTCATTAGAAGTGCTGTAACCAAATAAATGTTACTTAAATGTTACGAAAAAAGAATACCTTTTCAGGTAGGATAGTCGTCAGCACTCTTACTGGTGATGACATGGGGGTTGAGGTGTGGGAAGCAAACGAGGACTCCCCCAGCATCTCCTCTCTAAGTTTTGTTTTAAACGCTCTTATGGCAGTCTCACATGTAAGATTCTGTGTCAAGTTTTCAGTTATATTCATTCATTCTGGAGATTTTTTCAGAAAGTGGCCAAGCGTCCTATTTGATCCAAATTTATGCATTTGAAACTTGAAAACAATGCCAGTGAATAGTGAGGATACTCACTGGTAAACACAAAATCTGGAGGGGGTGGGAATTGGTTATATTTGAGACCCTATTTAAAGCCTTCCCAGTTTTCAATGTTCTTGAAACTTGCAGGGTATATTTATTGACGATTGATCTCGGGATTGTCAAGTGTGTAAAAAGGGAATCTGGACAATTCGCCCCCCAGACAATTAGCCCCCGACAACTAGCCCCCACATTATGGACAATTAGCCCCCACTTTCTAGACATTTAGCCACCAACCACATTGTGATATATCAAGTTAAAAAACCACAACATTATGAGTTTTGATATCATAAAATTTACCAAATCATTTATACTCCTGCATTCTCTTCTCTTGTTTTTTCTATCAATGGATTTTCTTATCGATTAACTTCACGGTGGTCTTGGAGAACGCAAAATATCCTTGACATCTGGGTTAGCACATAGAGTACAGTTTCAAATCTTAAAGGAGAACCAGACTGAAGGAAATCCTAAAGTCTAAAGGAAATCTTAAAGTCGATCGATGCATGACACGACCTAACCTAACACTTCTCTTTGAACCCAGGCCTTTTCGAACGATCTTTTCCACGTGCGGTTGATATATGTACAGGTAATTGTAAGCATTTTACTTTCACTTTACTTTTCATAAGATAGTTCTTGACTTCGAAAAGGCAATGTGGAGCGCCATCCGCCAGGTGTTGCCAAATGTGGAGTTGATGGGCTGTTCCTTCCACTGGACGCAAGCCTTATGGAGGAAGGTTAGGATGATAATAAGTTTTACAAGCATGATAGGTTTGAAAAAAATAACAAAGCGCATGTGTAGCGCTAGCTAATTGTCAACACACTTAAAAAACAAAATCAAACAAACATAAAATTTTGAAAAATCAAATAAACAAAACATCAGTACAATAACACGACTTAAACATTAATTAACCTTTTTTCATTTTCTTCTAGGTACAAGAGCTTGGCCTTCAAAAGGCATACAACAGAGACCGTGGCACGTATGAGTACACAAGAAAAATGATGGCTTTACCGTTCCTGCCAGCAGAAACAATAGAAAGACGTTTCAATCACCTCCAGCGACGAGCGACAACAAAGGCCATGAAAACCTTTAGCCAATACGTGAACGACAACTGGATTATCAACCGTACCTTCCCACCAGCAACTTGGAGCGTGTATATGGAAGCCGTCAGAACGAACAATGACCTGGAGGGGTGGAACAACGCCCTCAAAACCTGAGGCAAGGGAAGAGCTCAGTTGCCCCTCTACGTACTGATTCAGCTCCTCCACAAGAAGCAGCACTTGTCTCCCTTCAAATCAGACTCGTGTCTGACAGAAGACTGAGAAGACATCAGCGTAAGACTTATCGAAAGTATCAGAAGACTCTCTTCATCCTATGGAAAGCCTATGAAGATGGTCAGAAAAACTCAAAACAGCTGCTGGAGGCATGCTCTCATTTAGTTAATCCGTTGTAAGTCGTATCCGTAAGTTTAAGATTATAAGAATCTGTTTTTCAAGGGTTCGAATTGCAACCTAATTAAGCTTAAGTTTAACATTAGACTTTTTTAAAGTAGATTCGAATCGCAAACTTATTTAGCTTAAGTTTTACATTAGACTTTGTTTAAGTATATTCCAATCGCGAACTTATTTGACTTAAGTTAATATAAGAATTTGTTTTTCAAGTTTGACATTGTAATTTTTTACAGTAGATTTCTGATAGATTCTAATCGCGAACTCAATTAGCTTTAGTTGATATAATAATTTCAATTTGCTCAAACTGCAACCTAATTTAGCTTAGGTTTAACATTAGACTTTGTTAAAGTAGTTTCGAATCGCACACTTATTTAGCTTAAGTTTGACTTTAGACTTTGTTTAAGTATATTCCAATCGTGAACTTCGAAAACCTCTTGAGCTTTACTTAAGATATGAATTTGTTTTTCAAGGGGCAGGAGTCACTCGGACAACCCACACGTCCCCGCCTGTAATTCCCTTTAGCTTTAGTTAAGATAAGAATTTGCTTTTCAAGGGGCAGGAGTCACTCCGACAACCCACACGTCGCCACCTGTAATTCGCTTTAGCTTTAGTTAACAATTTGTTTTTCAAGGGGTGGGAGTCACTCGGACAACCCACACGTCCCCGGCTGTAATTCGCTTAGCAATAAACATGATTGTAAAGATATGCTGTTTACGTCATAACTACGCTTAGAAACCATGTGATGGTTCTTCAGCACTTGCTTTGGAACTTCCTTCAAAACAGAAAAGCGGGCATATAAAACGAAAACAGTAAGAGTTGTAGAAATTATTCAGGGGTTTGGTGTTAGGATTACAGTCTTCTTAAAGTTCTAAACGCAAACTAGCCAGTTAGAAAGGAACTGAAAACAGTTCATTTATTAAACAAGCAATTCGAAGATATTTTAAATCGTGTAATTGAAGTTTGTTTACATATTGGGGGCTAATAGTCTAGATAGTGGGGGCTAATTGTCTGTATACTGGGGGCTAGTTGTCAGGGGCGAATTGTCTGGGGGGGCAAACTGTCTGACATTCGTAAAAAAATTAAACGAGGTTTTTTGAATAATGCAAAATTTGTAGGCATGAACCAAATTACGTGCAAAAACTGTAACAAAAGCAGCTGAGTGTAGGTTCATAAAAATTCATCTAAGTCACGATCACCCAGAGCAATTCCCCCTTTTTTGTACGCACTTTTCAATGGAATGAAATGGCGTCCAGGAGTGGAACTTCGCGTGGACGATTTATTCCTACTGAAGAGGCTATTCGGATGATCCCAGACCAAGAAAGCGGCACTGGAAGTTTATTAAGTGATGAGGAAAGCGATCTTGATCACCAGCTATAGGATATGGACGAGAATCGGAGGTAA